GCAGGAGGATCGCTGGAGCCCAGGAGGTGGAGGTTTCAGTGAGCTATGACTGTGCCACTGCACTCATCTGGACACAGAACAAGAACCTGTCTCAAAAGAAAAAAAACACTCACGCAGTAGGTCACGGCTGTCATCGCAGCACTGTGGGAGGCCGAGGCAGATGGATCTCCTGAGCCCAGGAATCTGAAACCAGCCTGGGCAACGTAGCAAAACCCTATTTCTACAAAATATTTTAAAGAAGTTAGACAGGTACAGTGATGTGTGCCTGTCATTCCAGCTACTCAGGAGGCAGAGGTGGGGGGTTTGCTTGAGCCCGGCAGATTGAGGCTGCAGTGAGCTGTGATTGCACCACTGCACTCCTGACTGGGCCACAGAGCAAGACTGTCTGCCAGAAAAAAAAAAGAAAAGAAAAAAATGCAGGCCAATTGTGCCCCTAGCTCTATTATCTGCCAGTAAAATTTTAATGTAACCATTAAATTTAATGTAACCATTTAATATAACCATTAATTTGAATGCAACCATGTACAGGCTCATGCCTGTAATCCCAGAACTTTGGGAGGCCAAGGCAGGTGAATCACTTGAGGTCAGGAGTTTAAGGCCATCCTGGCCAACATGGTGAAATCCCGTCTCTACTAAAAATACAAAAAGCCAGGTGGTGTGACACACACCTGTAATTCCAGCTACTCAGGAGGCTGAGGCGGGAGAATTGCTTGAACCTGGGAGGTGGACGTTGCAGTGAGCCGACATCGTGCCACTGCACTCCAGCCTGGGTGTCAGAGCTAGAGTCCCTCTAAAATAATAATAATACTTAATAAATAAATAAATAAAGTGTGCGCTCCTCAGATGAAGCAGGCTGAGGTGGGAGATGAGAAGGGGAAGTGGAGGGCCAGGTGAAGCGGAAGCGGCAGCACGTTGGGGCGGGCAAGGGTTGGGGCAGAGTGGAGGGTGAAAATAGTCCCGGGGCACCTTGCCTTGGCCATCACAGCAGTGGCTCTCAAAGTGGAGTCCCAGGGTGGTTTCCCGACCTCAATTCAGGGATGGGTGAAGTCATTTTTCTGACCCCAGCTCTGAATAGTGATACATTTTCTTCCTATGCCTCGGCTAAACAACACGCCACACATCACAGCAGACAAAGGGAGAAGCCAGCAGCCCTTGTGACAGCTGGACACTAAAGAGACTCGCAGAACGCAGAAGACATGGCCAACCTCCTCAAGAATGTTTTTCTTTTTTAGAGACAGGGTCTCTGCCACCCAGGCTGAAGTACAGTGGTGAGACCACAGCTCACTGCAGTCTTGACCTCCCAGCCTCAGGTGACCTGCCTGCCTTGGCCTCCCAAAGTGTTGGGATTGCATGCATGTGTGAGCCACCGTGCCTGGCCTAATTATTCATTTTCAATTAGGTTATAATTAGGTTATTTTCTATTCTATTCTAATATATCAAATAATCCAATATATTACAGCCTACTAACAATTCTGGTAACTTTATAAAATAATTCTAATACAGTCATTCTGAGTGTAATATTCTATTCTTTTAAAATTTATTTTTATGTATTTTTAACTTCAGCATGCCCTGAGACTAATACTCTGTTTTAATTATATTCTAATAATTCTATATTATAGTTTAACAATATTATGTTCTAATAGTATATTGTATTCTCCATCCTATAATCAATAAAATTTGGGGTACAAGAACCTCACTCTATTTAAAAGTATTAGACTCCAGGATACAAAGATCCTCAGTCAATGCTGCCCTCGTGTGGTCAGTGTTACCACCGAAGGAAAATGTGGTCCTTTTCCTGGGGTGGACACCGATCAATATGCCTCAGTTGTTTTTAACCTTTTGGGTTTGCCTAGGACATCACAGGCAAGGGTGCATATTGAGAAGTTTGGTTCTATGTGATTTGTAGGCATGTCTCAGCAAAGAGTAATGGAAAAATCAAAAGACCAACAGGTAGATAGGTAGGTAGATGACTGATAGCTAGATAGAAAGGTAGGTAGGTAGGTAGGTAGGCAGATGGTTGATAAATAGGTAGACATATAGAAAAGCAGATAGAGGAATAGGTAGATAGATGACTGACAGATGGATAGGTAGGTAGGTCAACAGTTAGAAAGACAGATGCTAAGTAGATGGATAGGCAAATCGAAAGCTAGAAGAATAGGAAGTAGATGGATAGATACATGAATGACAGAGGATAGGTATATATACAGATGATAGGCTGCTGACAGACAAAAGATCACAGAGATACAGAGATGGCCATATACATATATAAATGACAGCTTAAACAGATGATAGGTAAGAATGAATGGATAAACAGATACATACATAATAGGTAGGCAGACCATAGAGACAGACAAGGATAGGTGCATGGGTGGGTGGATGGATGGATGGATGAAGGGGTGGGTGGCTTGGTGGATGGATGGATGAAGGGGTGGGTGGATTGTTGGATGGATGAAGGGGTGGGTGGGTGGGTGGATGGATGGATGGATGAAGGGGTGGGTGGGTGGATTGTTGAATGGATGAAGGGGTGGGTGGGTGGACGGATGGATGGATGAAGGGGTGGGTGGGTGGATGGATGGATGGATGAAGGGGTGGGTGGGTGGATGGATGGATGGATGAAGAGGTGGGTGGGTGGACTGTTGGATGGATGAAGGGGTGGGTGGGTGGATGGATGGACGGATGAAGGGGCGGGGGGGTGGACGGATGGATGGATAACATACAGACATAGACAGACAGGTGGGTAGACGGATGGATGGATGGATAACATACAGACATAGACAGACAGGTGGGTAGACGGATGGATGACAAATGACATACATGGATAGCCAGACAATGAAATACAGGTTTTCACGGGCTCCATTCTCCTCCTCTGGCATCTCATGCTCCGGTTTTGTGCTGGAATTCTTAGGCAGTGCTTGTTCAACATCGCTCTGATCCCTAGGCTAGTGTGGGAATTGAAGGATTCGCTTTCTTTATCAAAGATGGCAGAGATAAGCACTTGGGAAAATGACCCCTGCCTGCTCCCCAAACAAAGTCAGTGACTGACTGGATTTCCTAAGGCAGATGTTAGAATGTTACATGCCCCACACCCCCAGGAACAAGCATTTGGTGCTCCTTTTGCCAGCAGGATCCAGCTTAGACACGCCTTCCCGGCAGGAGAACACCTGTCTTCCTTCCCTGCTTTGTTTCCAACTGAAAGGGAAGGTTTCCCAGAGAAAACCTCTGGTCTTTACCCGCTGCAGGGAATCAGAGAGATGTGACAGAGAATCTGGCTTATGATCTGACTTTTGCAACATGGGCAGCATTCAGAGGATATGCTGGTGTCTGTCTTTGAGACTCAGAGGCAAGCAGAAGAAAGCAGCACACAGGAAAAGAGAGAACCTAGGAAGCAGTGCTGGCAGTGGCGAAGCACGGCGCGTTCTGGGCCCTCCCTGCCTGGGCTTCCTCTCATCTTCATCCTGTCTAGAGGCACACAGTACAACAGCTCCTCTGCACACGTAGCTCACTCCTTCCTACAGGTTCCTATCTGGAAAAGCGCCATGCTACTGAGTTGTCCTAGGGAATTAACAGGCATGCCAGATATTAACAACCGAATGAGGGTGACGCCAACATCCTGGGTTTCCAAGTGCCGCATGCTTCCTTTATGTTTCTGGGCAAGTCATGGTGGAGCTGTCTCAGGCACATGCTGGACTTCAACACCGAATCATGCTGACATCCCAACGGATGACTGACCTCTCTGTTACGTGGTCACAGGGAGGATGGCACCTCCCCTGACTTCCAAATCTCACCCAACACAGCTATCAGGGGCACCGGAACCAGAGCGACTCCCATCTTGAACAGGGGCTGGGTCAAATGAGGCTGAGACCTACTGGGCTGCATTCCCAATGCTTAAGTCATTCTAAGTCACAGGATGACATAGGAGGTCAGCACAAGATACAGGTGACAAAGACCTTGTTGATGAAATAGGCTGCAGTAAAACTGGCCGAATCTCATCAGAATCAAGATGGAGAAAACGGTGACCTCTGACTGACCTCACAGCTCATTATACATTAATTATAATGCAGCAGGCACTAAAGGACAGTCCCACCAGTGCCACAAGTTTACAAACGCCATGACAATGTCAGGAAGTTACTCTCTATCGTCTAAAAGGGGAGGATCCCTCAGCTCCAGGAATTGCCCACCTCTTTTCCAGAAAACTCACAAAGAATCCACCCCTTGTTTAGCATAAAATGAAGAAATAGCCATCAAAATAGCCAACCAGTCCCCTCGGGGCTGCTCTGCCTATGGAGTAGCCATTCTTTTATTCCTTTCCTTTATTTTTAATAAACTTGTTTTCACTTTACTCTATGGACTTTCCCCGAATTCTTTTTTGTGAGAGATCCAAGAACGTTCTCTTGAGATCTGGATCAGGACTCCTTTCCCATAACAAGTATGGGGTTTTAGAAGAAAAACACATTCTTGCCTTCCTTGCACGCTGGTCATCCAGAAACCAATTGTATTTGGCTGATTTACCTTGACCCAACCTGTGCCCTCCTGAGCTCTGCAGGTTACTTCAGAAAGGGTCTGTGCGGAAGATTTTTTTATTTAATTTTTAAATTCTTTTTAAGATTCATCAAGTGCAGAAGTGAGGAGGGAAAGAGTGGAGCAAGGAGTTCAACCTGTAACTAACTATGAAAATCAACTGAGATAACTCGCTACCTTCAGACCAGCCCAGAACGTTTATTTTGTATTTAAGGAAGACATAGATATTTACGTATAAAAATCTCAGCAGGCATGCATGGGTGGCTCCTTCACTACTTCGCAATTTTTGTCTCTTATTCAAACAAGCTGAACTGCCAATTCGCACTGCCCACCTCAGCAGGGCAGCAGATGTGTGTGCAGCCACACTGTGTCTGCTACACTCACAGACTGTTTTCAAGACTGCAAAAATGCCAAGGGATGAATGGGTGGAGGAAGGGGTGCTGGCCTGTAAGATGAAGATTCTCTACGGAGACTCTACTTACCCCGCGAGCATCTCGAATATCAGGATGCCGAGGGCCCACCAGTCCACGGCCCTCCCGTGGCCCTTGCTCTGAATGACTTCGGGGGCCAGGTACTCAGGTGTTCCGCAGAGGGTCCACGTCCTACATGGGCGACAGAGACAGGCCCCCACAAAACTCAGTGATGCTTGGCTAATGCAGTCACCTTAGAAGCTGTGATTGTTACAATAATTTAGTTAACACCATGCCCCCTTTCCCTCCTGTGCAGTAGTTTACTGGGGAAAGACAGTAACACTGTTTTTGCCAATTCCCTTCCATAGAAACAATTCTTAACAGGCTTGGAAACTAAGAATTGGTTTTCTCATCCTTGCTACTGTGGCTGGTACTGTTACCATTGTTGCTCAGAAGCAAGAAAACTCCATTTTTTTGAGTTACATATACCTGCCTTAGTATAAATCATAAAGAATCAAATTAAAATTAAAGGAAAAAGAAGATCATGTCCCCTGCAGCAACATGGATGGAGGTGGAGAGGCTGTTCTCCTAAGTGCACTTACATGCCAAGCACCACATTCCCACTTATATGTGGGAGCTAAACACTGGCTACACTTGGACACAAAGACGGGGAACAACAGACACCTGTGCTGGAGGATGGAGGGGGACCGACACAGAGAGAAGGGGAACCACAGACACCAGGCGCCGGAGGGTAGAAGGGGGCAGACACAGAGAGAGGGGGAACCACAGACACTGGGCGTCAGAGGGTGGAGGGGGGCGGACACAGAGAGAGGGGGAACCACAGACACCGGGCGTCAGAGGGTGGAGGGGGGCGGACACAGAGAAAGGGGGAACCACAGACGCCGGGCGTGGGAGGACGGAATGGGGCCAACCCAGAGAGAGGAGGAACCACAGACACCGGGCGCCGGAGAGCGGACACAGAGAGAGGAGGAACCACAGACACCCGGCGCTGGAGGGTGGAGGGGGCGGACACCCAGCGCCAGAAGGGGAGAGACACAGAAAGAAGGGGAACCACAGACACTGGGTGCCAGAAGGTGGAGGGGGCGGACACAGGGAGAGGGGGAACCACAGACATCCGGCGCCGGAGGGCGGAGGGGGGCAGACAGAGAGGGGGAACCACAGACACCGGGCACCGGAGGGTGGAATGGGGCGGACACAGAGAGAGGGGGAAGTACAGACACCGAGCGCCAGAGGGTGTAATGGGACGGACACAGAGAGAGGGGGAACCACAGACACCGAGCGCCAGAGGGTGTAATGGGACGGACACAGAGAGGGGGGAACCAGAGACACCGGGCACCGGAGGGTGGAGGAGGACAGACACCCGGCGCCGGAGGGCGGCGGACAGAGAGGGGGAACCACAGACACCGGGCACCGGAGGGTGGAATGGGGCGGACACAGAGAGGGGGAACCACAGACACCGGGCGCCGGAGGGTGGAAGGGGACGGACACCGAGCGCCGGAGGGTGGAATGGGGCGGACACAGAGAGAGGGGGAACCACAGACACCGGGCGCCGGAGGGTGGAGAGGGGCAGACGCAGAGAGCGGGGGAACCACAGACTCCGGGCACCGGAGGGTGGAGGGGGACGGACACAGAAAGGGGGAATCCACAGACACCGGGTGCCGGAAGGTGGAGGGGGTGGACACAGGGAGAGGGGGAACCACAGACACGCGACGCCAGAAGGTGGAAGGGGACGGAGACAGGAAAAAAAAAAAGGGGGGAACCACAGACACTGAGTGCTGGAAGGTGGAGGGGGCAGACACAGAGAGAGGGGGAACCACAGACACTGGGTGCCGGAAGGCTGGGATGGCGGACACAGGGAGGGGGGAACCACAGACACCCAGCACCGGAAGGTGGGGGTGGGGCGGACACAGAGAGGGAACCACAGACACCGGGCACCAGAAGGTGGAGGGGGCAGACACAGAGAAGGGGAACCACAGACACCGTGGAGGGGGGCGGACACAGAGAGGGGACAACAGACACCCGGGGCTGGAAGATGGAAGTGGGGAGCAGGATGAGGATGGGAAATCTACCTGTCAGGTACGATGCTTACTACCTGGCTGACAAAATCGGTTCACCAAGTGGCATGCAGTTTGCCCATGTAACAAATCTCCAAATGTACCCCTGAACCTAAAATAAAAGTTTTTAAAAGAAAATTCTTTATACCTCAAAAAAAAAAAAGGTGGCACTGAAAATAATTCACCGTGCGCGGTGACTCACACTACTCATTCCAGCACTTTGGGAAGCCAAGGTGGGTAGATCACTTAAGACCAGGAGCTCGAGACCAGCCTGGCCAACATGGTAAAATCCCATCTCTACTAAAAATACAAAATTAGCCAGGTGTGGTGATGCGTGCCTATAGTCCCAGCTACTCTAGCGGCTGAGGCAAGAGAATTGCTTGAACCCAGGAGGTGGAAGTTGCAGTGAGCTAAGAATGTGCCACTGCACTCCAGTCTGGGTGATGGTGGGAGACTCTCTCAAAAAAAAAAAAAAAATGTGCAAGAGCAGAGTCTATACTTGTAACTGAGACTAGATGGTCTGCAAAGCTTACATATGTTCTCTGGCTCTTTACCACCCCCTGCAAAAAAACATATCTTGACCCCTGGAAACCAGTGGAAAGACGGAAATACACTTCCTGCCCTGTGTGCCATTTTCCTTTAAAAGTACCTGCTTTCTGCGCTAAAAGCAAAGTGGCAGCCTTCAGCAGGAAGCCTGTACTTCTTCCCCTAAGAAACCTTTGAAATAAACAATCACTCTCTTTTTACCAGACCTCACTCTTGCTAATTGCACTCTGCACATGGCAAGAGCTGAATCTGCATACAGAAGTATCTGCTAAACAAAGTCAAGGCAAGATAACAAGGACTGCAGCAGAAGTTGGACACTTATAGGCTTGGAAAGGAGCTGAGTATCAGTAACCCTAGAGCGGGGCCAGGTCTGGGCCATACTCCATTGGCGCTTTGCTGCTGGGTAGAATGTCACTTGAGGCTTTCAGCAATTCAGACCCGTAGCACACCTCCAAACCACATCCACCCTTCCTGCCAAGTGCTGCCCTGGTGTGGAGCCTGTCTAGACAGGCAGAAAGAAGCAACACCCTTGGAAGAGAAAAAAATCTATATGCTTTGTAAAAGACCCTTCCCTCCTACCACTCAAATCAGTGAAAGAAGAAACTCTTACTTTGTAAGTTGGATATAAAGAGAACAAAAAATGAGTTCCATAGATTCTGGTAATGTACTTGTTTATCCACTCTCAAGTTCTTTGCACAACATATCACGCATGTGCAAAGTCTATTTTATACCCAGCACAACTTGCCTGAGTCTGCGCTGTTTGCAGTGGTGCGGGCATACACTTTGGCTTCAGCTCAGCTTCCTGCATGCAGGAACCCACCCAAAATGCTGTTACTGTTATCTTTCCTTCCCTACCACACCTCCATACCCATACCTCTTTCCATGTGACAGACTTTTCCACATTAATATGTAAACCCGTGGGATAACAACAAACTAGTTGCCATCCACATTTCAAATTCTGTCATCCATCCATGAAATAAAAGTACCACAAGGTCAAGCATGGTGGTTCACACCTGTAATCCCAGTACTTTGGGAGGTTGAGGCAGGAGGATTGCTTGAGGCTAGGAGTTTCAGACCAGCTTGGGCAACATAGCAAGACCACTTCTTTACCAAAAAAAAGAAAAAAGTCAAGTGTGCTCAAGTACGCCTGTAGTCTCAGCTAGTGAGGAGGCTAAGATGGGAGGACCACTTGAGCCCAGGAGATCAAGGCTGCCGGGAGCATGACAGTGCCACTGCATCGCAGCCTGGGCAACAGAGCAAGACACTGTCTCAAAAAAAAAATACTGCAGGCTCTAGCAGATACAAGTCAGGAAAACAGGGAAGAAGACAAGGGGAGAAAACGAGCTCTATTCCCACGAAGAATGTGGAAGGGAGTGACTCTGTCTGCAGGTCTCTGAAGTTAGAGCTAAGTATGGAACAAGGATCACCTTGCGATCCTATTAAGTGCTTCTCACTCACTAGACTGAAGTCTACAAATGGAAAGTACAATGCACACTGTTTTAGAAACTTCCTCCCCCCACCTCGCCCAGCAGAATCAACTCCTAGTTGCGTTGATGCAGGACGCTTCTGTCATTCTGCAAGACGATCGAGTTACTGGCCTGCTAGTTTTGTATTTCCACTTTGCTAGCCCATCCAAAGTGGCCTGAAAGTAGCTCGATCTTAGCAGATACGAAGCCCAAGCAGAGGCAGCCACAGGTCATCCTATAGGCCTTAGCTGCAACTTCTCTGCTTACCTTTTGAAAGATGAGGCTCTTTTTGGCTCTGTGTTAGGGTAAGCACACACTCCTAAGGTTGTATAAGTTTCCGGGTTCTAACTTGCCTCTGGAAGACTTCTGCCCTGTTGGTCACTCCTTCCTGTAAAAAGCCCCAGTGCCTAGCTGGATGGACAAAGAGACACACACGCCGCTGCGGAGAGATGTAGAGTGCTGTGAACAGGAGACGGCACAGCCTGAGCCTTATGTCGAGACCACTGGTCCGGCAGGGAGTGATCCACTTCCTGTTCCTATCTCCTTGTGCTCACCTGGCTTTGGGGAAGAGGGAAGGTCACACCTGCTGCTCTGTTTTCTCACGTCTCTCATTTTGCTATGGCCGGAGGGAGGGGAGGGAAGAGGCCATGTTAACGAAGGAGAAACAGAGCTAAGAGTAGGATTCTCGGGCCAGGCGCGGTGGCTCAAGCCTGTAATCCCAGCACTTTGGGAGGCCGAGGCGGGTGGATCACGAGGTCAAGAGATCGAGACCATCCTGGTCAACATGGTGAAACCCCGTCTCTACTAAAAATACAAAAAAATTAGCTGGGCATGGTGGCGCGTGCCTGTAATCCCAACTACTCGGGAGGCTGAGGCGGGAGAATTGCCTGAACCCAGGAGGCAGAGGTTGCGGTGAGCCGAGATCGTGCCATTGCACTCCAGCCTGGGTAACAAGAGCGAAACGCCGTCTCAAAAAAAAAAAAAAAAAAAGAGTAGGATTCTCGGTAAAGTAGAGATATCCAATGACTCCTGTGTTCCTACTGCCCCGCCTTCCACCACACCTGCACTGGGCTGAACTGTGCACCCACCAAAGTCGTAAACCCGG